TATAGACGATAAACGAACATTTATCATAGTTTAGAATAGAGGAAAATATGTATTTGCAGATTATCGCATAAAACTCTACATTCAGAGTAAAATACTCGAATAAAATCGATGAATTATTTCATTTCAATTCTTGTTTTGTTCATGACTTGCTATGCCTAAAGGACATCATTATACACCTGATGTAAAATCGTTAATGTTTCGGATAATTAAGTTTGTAGAAAGTGAAAAAGAAGGTCCAATTATACCGATGTATAATGTAAATGACCGATTAATTAATATGTTAAATATTTCTCACGGATCGCTGGTTACTTTAAAAGAAGAATTAGCAACGCTTATCGAAGATAAAAATACATCGAGAAAAATTTTACGTTCGACAACAACCATTGGAAATGAAGTAGGATCATTGAAGCCGATGTCACCTAAAAAATATCACCATTCTGGTCGTTCAAAAATTGTTCTATCAGATTATGGAAATGAAATGTTACGGTTCGAATTTCACTTATTATTGTCTGAAAAAGTTTATCCAACTTTACGTCGTTTATTAACACGTTTAAAAAAAGATTTACCTGATTTTCCAATCAACAGCATTACAACACTATCAAAACATTTAAAAGAACTAGGTTTTGTCTATAGAAAGTCGGGTTCAGTCAAAGTGATTTTAGATTCTACTTTTTTTGTTGCTGAAAGAGGAAGATATTTTCATCATCTAAATATGTTAGAAGAAGAAAATGCTTTAATCTATTTCCAAGATGAGACTTGGTTGAATGCCAATGAGGAAAAACGAAGTGTTTGGATTGATTCTAGCGATTCTACAGGAAGATTTCGTAGTGGTACAGGCAAAGGTAAAAAGACTAATTTTAGAAATGATGTATGATTTGAATATATTAAGCTTTGTTCACATATCTCTTCAGGTAAAAGATTGGTGATCAATGCATTGATTAGTCGTCATGGTTTTCATCTTCCAACTGTTGATATATTTGAATCCGATTCGTTTCATTCAATGAATTCTGATCGTTTTGTTAACTGGATTAAACAAACTTCAGGTATTCTACGATGTGAAGCAGGTAAGAAAGGATGTTTGACAGGCAATAATAGTTCATTAAATGCTAGTAATTACCCAGGTAAAAAAATTGATTAAAACCATCTTTTTAAATCTTGTGGTTTTAATCGTTGATTTAAACAGAAATAGTCAACAGAAAGTCATCATTTGATTCGTTATTTTTCGCTTTTGATTACAATCGAATTTTCAAAAAGCTAATCGATTAAATGATTAATTTTTTCTTGCTTATTTCTGTTTAAATCAATTCTTGAAATCGTAGGATTACAACCAATTAATAATAAGATTTTTTGTGATATTTTAGGAATTCCTTTTACATAGGTTACTGAATAATTTTGTTTGTCAATAGGTCCAAATCGAAAGATTTGTATAATAATAGACAATGCCAAATGGCACAACGTACAAACCGACTTCAGTCGAATTCCATCAAGATCATGGAATAAAGATAGAATTCGTCAGTGGTTGGATCAACATCGAATTCCATATCTTGATCATCATCTTAAAGCAGAATTGCTTGAATTGTGTCATGCAAATGCTCCACCAAAACAATATTTGGTTAACGAGGCTGCTGCAGCATTTGATATTGAGATTTTACGTTTGCCCATTAAACACTATATGTTGAATCCAATAGAAATAGTATGGGCATGTAAGTAATCATTTCTATTATATTTTTGAAAGCGACTATGAATGTGTATACTGAATATGCATTTTTCATCATATAAACGGTATTGTGTATTATTATATCTATTTCAGCTATGAAAGCTTATGTTCGTGACCAAAATACGTCGTTTAAATTACAAGATGTTCATGCATTCGCAGCTCATTGGTTAGCTGCTTGTGATGGACCAACATCAGCTGGATGTTTTGAACAAACCAAACAATACGAGGCAGTTTTCAAAGCAGCGGATCATTATGTTGAATCAATTGAAGAAACGTTAATCGATAGCGATGATGATGGATCCGATCAAAGTTCAGATGATGACGATGATGAACGAAGTTCAGATGAAGACAAATAACGACAGCAATAGTGAGAATGAACAAGTTAACTTCTTTTTGACTTCACAGACTTATATGATACTTGTAGATTTTATTCGAGTATTTTACTCTGAATGTAGAGTTTTATGCGATAATCTGCAAATACATATTTTCCTCTATTCTAAACTATGATAAATGTTCGTTTATCGTCTATATGTCAGTTTGCTAGAAGATAATAACTTATTTATTTTGCATTTTCCTCGGAATTTGTATGATTTTTTCGTACTGAAAAAAATGCATGTAATATATTTTAGGAAAATGAGTGCCATTCGAGAACTACAAATGCTAGAGAGCTGGGCCTTGTGTCATTTTGTAGAGAGGCTTATGGGGTATCTTTTGAATAATTTAGATATATAGGTTTTTATAGAACATTAAAAAACCACAAGGAACTCTTTAAAAGATTGACGATAATGAAAGACTGAATCCATATGAATTTCGAGCTGATCTTAGTGGATTTATAGAGTATATCTTTACCTACATAATGCTCAAAACCGCAGCTCTCTAGCTGCTTCCGTTCTTGAGTTATTGCAAAAATACCCACGGCCATCTTTTTTTTGGACAGACAGTAGTTCTATTAAACAATGAAAAAACCACCACCGGTACATTTTGCTATTTTTTGACCAGTAGTATACTGCTAAGATATACCGGTGGTAGCTCAAGGAAACGTATCACATGGTGCAGTAATGGTATGTGCATTTGTATCATTTACATTTTGCTTTGCCAAGAATATACCATTAAGTTAGTTTCCTTTTGGGATATTAGGTATTGAATGAGAACCATGGCTAGAACTCTGATTAGAAAAGCATGGGAGATTGTTTTTGCTGAGGAATTTTTATAGAAACTGTGTAAGAAATGTGGGATCAATGATAGTCATAAATTTGTTCTGTTCAGAATATTGGTTGCTTTAGCAGTATTGTAAAGAATCGAAAGAATCTTTATTTCTGTCCCTTGAGTACTGATGGAAAAAATAAAATCAGAATAATGAACATCTTATTGTAATAGTCAATCATATGCTTCTAATCATAACATTCTTTATTTCTAACAAGATAACATGAACTTAAGCAAATACAATTAACAGTAAGAATAAAAGAAAAACAGAAATTACATATTACAGTTAATTAAAACTATTTAAAACAAAGCTATGCATTACAATTTAAGTCATTTACTATGCTCTAATTAACGTTTTTCTTCTTTTAAATATTTGTTTTCTTCTTTCAAATTGCTGATTTCTTCTTTCAAATTATCGTTTTCTTCTTTCAAATCATTTACTTCAGCCATTAAGTTATTATTTGTATTTGACAAAGTGGAAAGAGTGTTTTCCAATTGTTGAGCAAAAGATGTTTCTTGTTGGCTTATTTGTAACTGTAATGCTTCCAACTGTTGACGTAACGCAGTATTTTCTTCTCGTAGAATATTGTTTTGATGAATTAAAACTATCATGCCTACTGAAGTATGTTGATGATTCTAGAAGAAAAAGACATTGGAATTACAAAGTTCAGTTAAGTTCCGGTTTTATCCGATGATTCAAATAGAAATAGTATCTTACTCTTATTGAATCTCCATGAGGTGTATTTGTTTCTCTCAAAGGACGTTGATCAGCCATGCTAAACAAACTGCTCTAAAATCAAGAAAGTATACTAATATTTTCCATAGACAAAGATCACTACTGAATGCAAGCGTGCATACAAGCGATAACAGTGAGTGTAAGTGTGACCAATTATCTTAGTTAGTACTTGCACTTATGTGAAAGAATATATTTGAGTGCATCAGAAAAATATAGACATATACATGATGATTTTACTTTTTAGCTCTACGGTAATTTTGTAACGTGATTGTTTCGTAGAACATCATAGGTGTCGCTGAAATACATGTTTCATACGAAAGACATTATCCAAGCCAAAGTAAAGGGTGGTCCCAAAGTTTCGACTCCTGCTTAGTAAATCAAGAATACCTATATCAAAGTCGTATGAAAGTATTGATCAAATTATGTTATTTAGTAGACAAAGAGAAGAGCTATCATCTGAAAAAAAGACAATTTGAAATGCATAGATTTATTATAAAGTTATGGTCATTTTACTAGTTTCGAGTGAGAATTTTTACTTTTGCGTTTTTTGCAAAAACAAAAATATTCTTG